TATAACCCGACTTTTAAAAGCACACTTATTTTATTATTTTTTTTTTTTTTTAAGCACATTTTAAATGCAGTTTTTCTGGTAAAATTAGGTGCCTCAGCTGATATTCGGGTCATCTTATACTCAAGTATATGTGGTAGTCTGTTCAGATTTTCATTTTATTTAGTAAAAGAACTACTAGGGGTATTTCAAATATCTGTGGCATAACTTCTAGCATCATAGGAACATATACGACGCTACAGTTCAGCAGAGTGACAGATGTTAGATAGATGTTAGACCTTTGTCAAGTTGATTGATGGCATGTCAGTTTGTCCTTGTCTTTACTTTTTTTTCTCCCTTTCATAAATGTATTCTATTTACTTACCAGAAGAACCAAATGAAGATTACAGGCTGTTACCACACTTTAGAGAATATCTGTGGAAAGGGAAATTTAGTGATTGCATCCAAGATCACAGGCTTCTAAGTTTTTCATTTTAATTCAGGTGATCATTGGGAAATGGCAGAGAATATTCCTTTACAGTTTTGACAACAGATATCTTCATATATATAGATTGAGTTAATGCGTATGGGATGTTATAGGGAAGGGAGTATATTGAAGATGGAGGGTGATAAAACACTCAATATATTACTGTTTGATTAAATGTTTTTGTGTTAAGAATATTGGTACAAATCTTTGCATAGGTAAGATATATTACAGAAAAATACTGTAAATCAAAGGATAATTTATAGTAATATAGTTAGTATAGATGAAAAATTGTGTTGCCTTCATTTGATAAACAGTATAATATTTTAGGTAAGTGAATACACATGGTTTATCTTTTATGCCCTGAAGTCTTTTCCTAGCCACTTTACTCAAATTTTTAATAAAAGTGAAATTATTTTAAAATAACTTAAGAGGAATAAACATTTGTGGAAAATTATGACTTAATTTTCCAAATAGTAAAAACCTGTATATCATCTTCTAGATTTAATAATTATTAATTATTCTGTCATATTTGCTTTATCTTTATGTGTATTCCTTAGAATTTATATTTCAACTTCATTTTTCATAATGCTTTCTATTGGCAATTTAAAAAATTGTGAGTTAGGTGTGAGTTTCACATTTCAGTTCATCAATTTTGTATTCAACAGTTTAAACTAATTGTCACTCCTACCCCCAGCCCAATAGCTTACCCTACCCTTCTCCCCTTTGATTTTTCTTTTCCTGCTTGTGGATTTCTTAAGGCTTTTTTCTTCTTCAAATTCTTACTTGTATTATATTGATATTTCTTCTCCA